AAGCTACAAAATATACAGGAAGTTTTGAAGCTTTTAAAAATTCCTAAGACTACTTTCCAGAATGTGATGAGTTAATTAGCACGTGTCTAGTTAAAAATTTCTTGCAGAAGATATTTTAACCAAGCCATTTTGAAAATCAAAAGTAAACCCAAATCTTTACATCAGCTATTAGCAGGAAATCAAAACAGAAGCAGAGGCATATTCAAATTTGTATTTTATATACATATAACAAGAAACTCATTTGTATCTTGATCAGCTAACGCTTTACATAACCTGTATTAACAACAAATTCAAAGTGCAATCTTCTGCTGAGTTGGAGAGCAACAAAAGAAGCCCAAATATAAACATGGAACTGGTTGTGGCAGACAGAAGACCCTTGAGCCTGAATGCATTTAATAGCAAACAGCACAGACCTTGCACTTGGATATTTGCTGGTCTGCATACAGAAACTGAAGTGCTGGTATACACACTACTTACCGTGCTTCTCTGATGGAGATGGACTGCACACAACGATTATTACACACAAAGGACTTATAATATAAACATAGCCAACAGATTCTATAGGACAACTATATCCTATGTGAATACTGGAGGAAATGATAGGCAATGGAGCTTTAGCAAAATACAGCAAATGGCAATAGCACATAAGCTTAAAATGTCATCTGTGAGAAGTCAGGCATACAACCTATCCAGTTACCTTAAGAAAGTGTGCTTATACTATTTTGGATACAAACCATAGCTTTCCTGTTTGTACTATTTCAGCAAAACATTAAGTTGCCTTTCCACAAAGTTTTTTCTCCTTCTGCTTCATCAAAAAGGAAAAACTGAACTGATGACACCTGAAGATCAATAATCATGCAGTAGCTTTTTCCCAGCTGACTGCTTTCATTCCTCAATATTTTACCAAGAACTCACATCCCTGAAAAAAGGATGGGCAGTAGAAAGAAGACAAAGGCACAGTGGTAACAGCCAGGAGACTTCTGGGAATTCATGTGTCACACTTCAGCACAGAAATAGAGAGATAAAGGAACTGTATCCTGCGCAAGTATGCAGGTAGCTGGAGAGTGTGTGAACATCTACCATGTCAATAAGAAGAGAAATGGAGGCACAGCAGAAAATTTTTACACGACAAATGGTATTTGTCTCTGATTCCTTGATGTTTAAGAACAACATGTTGGGGTTTCCTAAGGCATGAAGGCAAGTTTCATGCAACAGGGTAAGAAAGAAAAAAGTCATGTACTGGTCAAGAAGTTAAAGACAAATTTAAGTAGCCTGTTATTAAAATTCAGGAATAAATTTAAAAGATTTTAATTCTTATTTTTGACATCCTATCTTTCTCAAAATACACATGCTAACCCACTTAAGATGTACATTCATTCTCTCTGAAACTATTTCCTCCTTGAGATTTTATCTCAGTAAAAATACACTTACTGGCTGAAAGAGCAAAAGATTAAGCAACACAAAGTTGGGGAGGGAGGAGAACACCCGAGCCTATTTACAAAGCTGCAAATAAATGTCACTAAAATGAAAACTAAGTAGGGCTACTAATAATAAAAAAAAAAGTCAAAACAGTTTGCTTTACTGGCTGCTGATTCAGGGAGAAGAGTGCTCAGCCAGGGGCAAATTCTTCTCATGTTATTATTAACCAAATAACTGTAACATGCAGATATACACAAATATTTGAGTAGCCAATAAAAAGCATTTAAGAAAAAAACTGAAGCAGCTTAAAAAGAAAATACAAGTACATGAGTAGGAGAAAGATCGCATTTAGAATTAACTAAACACTGTTTTCAGAGGAATTATTTCTTGCTCTTCCCATCCTTAAATTCAGAGGTGGCCCAAGAATATAAAACTGGGGATGTAAGTGTAGCACAAACTGCTTGTTCCACACGAAGCTAAACAGATGAGAAAACAACACAGTACTTTTTTAAGAGTGAGAGTGACCAGCAAGGACACAGCGAGGAGTTTTAGAGAACTCCTTTAGGCTATGTGTACTGAAGATTAAAATCAGATTCCACCACTTTCAAGTAGAAAAAAGTTTTCCCAAGGCAACAAACACTAGTAGAGGACATGACTGTAATAAACACACAGTTCCAGGATTAACAGACACACAAAAACACAACCAAAATACCCACAACCTTTGGGCATAAACAGTATTTCAGTAACAAGAACATTAATATAAACATGCATGTCTCCAAATCTGACATACAAATAAAAGAAATGAGAGCAAAAGTTCTTAGCCCAGAACATCATATAGAACCTGCTTCCTTCCTGTCCGTGAGATTAGTTCCTCTCGTCTACAGAAAAAAAGCTAAAATGTTCACACATTAATGTATAAATAATAGAGCACTCCTCCTAGCAATGAGCTTAAAAAAATCCAACAATTCCAAACTACAGTAGATCTCTAAACTTCAAGAGGTTAAACCATTGGTTATGCTGCAGTGAATCACAAATGTTCCTCTGCTAAGCAAAAAGCAGAACCAAATTTGAAGGCAATAAAAGTTGCTGTACTTATTTTTCTTCTGCATGACACAGTGAAAACATCAGCTTGATTTCTTGGAAATCATGGGATGGAAGAGCCTAGTTACCAGCCTTATAAACAAAAATCACTTCTGGTATGAAAATAAAATTACTATCGGGAAAAAGAAAAAAAGACCCCAACACATCTTTCAGGAAACAGAAGCAGCTTTGCTTGACCCAAACCAATGGATGTTTTTCTTTGCTACAAATACAAATCTTGCTCTATTTACCAATTCAGAACATCATTGCTGCTTTCTCCCTTTCACCTCCGTGCTGCTTCCAAGTCTCTTCACTTTTGCCTAGACACAGAAAGGAACAAGCACATACCAGACTGTGGAAACTAGTCTATTTACTATCTTGTCATACATTAAGAAAAGCTAGCACATAGATGAAAACACCTTCATATTTAAGACTGTCAGGGATTGGATCAGGCTATAAAAAAAGACTGCATAATCGCTTTCCTTGGAAGTTTTTGTGATATGACAGCACAAAGCCCTTGGCAAGTGCATCTAAATTCAGTGTTTTGTCTGCTTTCTGCTGGAATTTGTACCAGATGATTCCTACCTGAATTATTCTATGAATTTCAAGCCCTTAGCTCCTTCTGAAATCCCCTTCATGCATCACCAGAACAACATAGCAGCAGTTGTGCTGACTGAAGTTTCTGTATGACAATCACCTGTACTTGTGGCATTTCATTTTTCTTCTATCTCACCTACTAATTTTTTCTTAAATCTCCTAAGTTCTTTGGAGTTTCTTTTTACTCTGCATTTGCAGGTCTAGTTCTTGGAGTCCGGATTTGAGGCTAAGACTTCCAGAAAATACAGTAATAGAAATAAGAACAAAACTGCAGTATAGGAAAAAAGATGATAGAATATCATACTCAAGTTTAAGAACTATTTAAGTATTCAGATACAGGGAAGTGACAACACAAAGCTTATATTTGTAGAAGTTGGGAAAAACTGACAGAAAGACAAACCTAATGCAATTGGCAGAACAGACAGGGCAAGTTTATAGTATGGATATTGTCCTCCTACTTTTGTTGCATACCCATGAATGAATTTGGATTGGAGAACACAGAAGATAAAGAACACCCAAACATTTAATTCATTTAAAAGACCAACAAGATTTATAGTGTTGAGAGGAAGGAAAGAAATAATTTCAAATCAGCAGCACCCAACAGATAATGTATTTGACAAAAGAAAAGAACATCAGATCTCAGTAGAAAAAAAAGGAATAATATTTTTGTTGAAATTAATAGCTATACAGATATAATCTTATACACGAGTTTTTCCTTGCCAACACATAACTCACCTACTATCTTTCAAAACAACTTGAGCCATACCTTTAAACTGGCATGCCAAGATAGAAAAAACAGTCAGTGCAGCCTGCATCACTTTACAACTACCTAGTTCTCAGTGGGAAAATGTTCTTTTTATTATTTTTCTCCTGAGACAAAAGACTGTTTGTAGTTCTACAGGTAGACTGGGACAGTGGTCTGTTGTGGTAAGAACACCATGGAGCTGGAGGAGGAGCTGGGAGAGGCAGAGATCTGGCGCAAAAATAAATGATTTCATTGGCAGGTACATCAAAGAAGTTTAAGTTCAAAGCAGTGAAGTTTAACAAAACTAACAAAATACCTTGTGTGACCAAAAAACCTTTTTACTTCCTGTTCAGAAAAACAAAACAGAATAAAGAACTACATTTCAGAGCAGATGAATTCACTGCACTGGATTTTTCATCACAATTAATAACCAGGAACAGACTCTAAGCCCATCACTAGCTGATAAATAAATCAGAGTATGCGATGAAGGCATCCAATCCTTGTGCTTGGTAGTGGGAATCTAAATACCTGTGACTGAGGTTTAGTAGGTATTTCCTTACTGCTTTATTAAAAGAGTAGAAAATCAGTGAAGAAAGTCCTAGAAGAAAGTCCAGTGAAGAACTAAGCAATTAAAAAAAGAAGTCAGTCCATGGCTGCAAGAAACCCCTTCACAATGCAAGCAAAAAAGCCAGCTCTAGAGCAGTTGCAATGTCCAGATCAAAAACATATTAGTAGATGGCAAGGTCCTTTTACTATACAACTTGCAAAGCAAAGTTGTTCTATTATTAAAGAAAGGACAAAAAACAAAGGATGAAGTGTCACAAAAAAATTCATAAAAACACACACAGACATCAGTACTAACAAGACTCCTAAAACTTGTACTGAGTTGGACTACCTTAACGGAATGACAACAGCAGTTTTCCCCCCATAAATGTATGAACTACCAATTGCCATTCTTACATGAGTACTATAGATTGAGGAAAAAACGAACAGAAAAGGACTATAGGAAAGAAACAAGCATACCTAACATATGAAGTTTTGCACTAAAACAAGGTAAGGATAAACACTTATGCATTTGATAATGGGGGAGTGGAAAGTTGTTTTCTCATGTCAGGCTGCATCACTCTTCTTCCCCCTCTCCGTTTGTTAGGGCACTTACCAGGTCACCTCGAGGTGCTTCCTGATAATCTACAGAAAAGCAAGACATTGAACTTCTTGTGCTGCTGCTCTCACTGGCTTGCCGAGGAGGCTGTGCATATTGCCTGTACGTAGCACTCTTTGGGGTCCAGCGAAACAGGTTGATTGACTCACGAACACAACGCTCAATGTCAATCTCTGGTCATGAAAAAAAAGAAGTGATAAAAAAAATATTGGTAAAACCAAGTAACCCAGCTATGATATTGCTAGGGAAATACATAGGTATCCATCTATTGTGCTGTCTCTCTCCTTTAAAAATTTTCAAAAACACCTCACCATTCAAATACTCAGCAACTTTCATGAAAAACTAGCAAAGACATTTTAAGCTTTAGTTTTATGCCCAAGTTATGCATGATAACATTGCAAGCTGTTTAAGAGAAGTGTAACACAACTATTAACAATACAGTGGAAGAATATAATTGAAACACAGCCATTGTAATGCATCTTCACTAAATTCCTTTGCAAAGCAGGCTAATGATTCAAATATAAATGCATGCAGCACATCCAAGGTATATTTCATGCAGCATATTGAAATTAGGATTTTTGGATCAACATTGTGCCATTTATCAGATATACCTGTTACAAGGCTGACAACTTTGCTATGAAAGCATTCAGTGTTGCTGAACCTTGTGTAGCCTGCCATTTTGACAAAGTCATATGCTATCAGTTGGGTGGAAAAAAAGGAATCATAACATTACTTTGTACTTGATGTGTACAGTGCTGAACACAGTGTATTTCCTTAGAGCTGTGCAGTTGAAAACCCAACTGCAACTTAGAGTGGAATACTCTGAGCCAAAGGAGCAAAGTGTAATACATGACAAAATATTACTCAACTTGGGAGGAAAGCAGATAATCATTAAAGGTGAAGCATCCTAAAAATCAGCTGCAGTCAAAGAAAAATTAACGAAACATATTGAAAAAAAAAAAGAAAAAAAAAGGAGAATCTACAATAAACACAACCTTTGCAGCAACAAACAAAACAAAGATCCTTCATAAATCTTCTAACAAAGAGTAAAGAAAACCATTTACTTTTCTATCACTTTAAGAAGACCAGTTAGCTCATCCATATTCAGGCAGGATACTGACCTTTAGTGTATGCTTTACTCCTAGTGAAGGCAATACATTTGTGTTAAAAAAAAAAAAAAAAAAAATAAGTACAACAAAATTTTTCTTAAAAATATCAGGTTTCCTACCTACTTGGATAATGCCAGAGAGAATAGCGTGCATCTCCAGAGTAATGAACAACTTTTTCATTTTGTGGTGAAATCCTACTACATTTTTCATTTTCAACACACTGTAATAGAACTTTGATATTTAGTGTTTTTCCCCAAAGAAAATCCTGACAACTGGAAAACTACCAAGTGATTTCGACATTCAGTAAGAACAGCAGGGACCTTTCACTGGTTATTTCTTCCAGAGTTCAGAATACTAATTACAGTCACACTTTCTCTACGTTACTCCGAAAATGACTTGTAAAAACATGATCATTTTAAGACTGTTCTTGCTTATCTGTTTTACTCTGGAGCGAGTTACAGCAGTGTCTCTATTTTTGCAATAAGTGAGCTGAATGCAGAATTCAGATATTTAAAAAAAAAAGTATGAACAATAATTACTAGCATGAGCAGCTTTCAGCTGTGAAAAGACATAATGGCCCACAAATACCTGAAATTGAAAGCAAAGAACTGGAGGAATGGAATAGGAAATTCACATGCAGTAGAAAGTTACGAAAAAGATAAAAGCAGGAATTGAGATTGACGGAGTTCAGCACTGGCACAGACTACCACAATACTTTTCCTAGAAACAAGTTCTAGAATTCCAGAAGGAATCCATGATGATAAATGAAAAACTCAGCAACAGATTCTCATTATTTAAAAAAATAAATAAATAGAAAATATCTGCCCAACTTCAAGGTGTGAATCAAAAAATTCCTGAGTCTGCTGTTCCATGATTCCTGGCTGCTTGACTTCTAATTTCTTCCAAGCAGCAATTCAGGTGGTCAGTGGCTACGCCTAAAAATAAAACCCCATGGAACAACAAGGAATTTTAAATGGTTTGTGAGGTGATCCAAAACCTAACAGCAATTTGAAGTCTGCCAGCAAATTAATAGCTTTCCAAGTAACAACAACAAGAAAAACCAACCAGCAAACAAACAAAAAAAACAAGGAGACTGCAGTTTCCACAGAGAACAAAATATTTGTGTACGCATACAGATATAAGTGTGCATGCAAATATAGGAAGATCAACATCTAGCACTCAACAAGGCAAAAAAGACCATCAGTAGCAAAAGCATTTACTCATTTTTCTTTTTTAAAAACTGATTACTTTCAGGACAATGGAACTTAGGAAAATTTTAAAGTGGTGTAAATAATTTACAGAATATTTAATTAGTCCCAGCACATGAACTAACTTCACACTTGAATAACCTCCAAGACTTCAACCTTTCTTTGAAATTTTGGTTTAAGAAAGATCACTTCCCATCAAGATAGAAAATAAAGTGCAGTCTCCTACAGCCTTACTGAATAAGGTCTTTTCCCTTATCTTTTGCTAATAAAGGTCTACAGCATTACTTCAATTTTGATTTCTTCCCATGCCCTTACAAACATTTGGAAAATGATTCAGTCCATTAAATGTCCTTTCTTATTATTTCTATTTTCACACCAAGGATTTGCATCTGCATAGCATTAATCTTTCTTGCACTTTTCCTGTTCTCAAGCATTACTCTGTTACCAGCGAGAAGCTTACAAATTATTAAACACGCTGCCGGTAAGTCAGATGTGTAAATATATGAAGTCAATACATAGACTCTTGATCAGGACTGTGAACAAATGAACAGAGAGTACTTCACCAGGATGCCAGACTACTTGTCATACGCAAACAATTTAGAAGAACATCCTTTTGAGAGAAGGCTCTGAATAAATCTCAAAGTGGCAGAACAAAGTGAGCAAAAATATCTAGAAAGAATGGGGAGGGCCTCCTCACTTACAAAGTTAAACACACAGCAGCTCTGTGCTCTCTTAAGGTCCAAGCAGTGGTTTGTTTTGTAGCTTAAGCAGCATGTGCCTTCCATTTCTACTCTGCAAGTTACTCTGCTGGCAAATCTATAATCAAAATGTGCTGACATAACATTAAGCCATTAACCGTGAAATACGCACTGAAAAAAAATTTAAGTACAAGCTTAAAAACATAATCTAAATACTATAAAAATAAGTTCTCATCTCAACTTTATGTACATCTCAAAGCAGCCTGTTTTACACAAAGTACAAAGCACCTGCACTTCAAAAAGTCAAAACTGATACCCAAGTATTTAGAAACTAAAACCGGTAAGTTTCATTTCAAAACACCAGTCCTGGATGTCCTAGATCAACTGAGCAGTCAAGCAGCAATCAATCTTAGAGGAAACAATTCCGTGGTACCAGCCAGCTACTCTACTGCTTGGCATCAAAAGCCTTTTCCTTCCTTATTTTTTAAATGTGCAAAGCCCATGGGAATTGGAAGAGGTGTGTGGGTAGGGGGAAATAATCTAACATTAATATCCTAGGTTTGTTACTCTTAAGCGATTGAAATGCCTTAGTTTGCTGAGCTAAACTTTATTGCTGCCTTAAGATATTACCCATTTTAGTCTGTTCATTCTAAAATACTGCACTATATAAGAAGTCTGTCTTCCTCAACAACCTCAACTGAAATGGCTGGCTCACCTCATTTAGTTCTATTTAGTATTTGTTATTATAGATTGAGCAGAGAAGTAGACAGCTCTTGAAATACATATTTTAAAGCATCAGTTAAAAAGCACCTGTGATAGCAGCACACACAGAACTTTATTTTTACAGCAGAACGGTGTGCAAATTTTCAACCCACCAAGTGAAAGTAATGAATGGGAAAAAATGATATATGAAAGGCTTGCTCTTAAGAAAAATGTATACAGACCAAATTTTTGTGTGTAATTAATGAATTCCAGAGGCCTTTCCTTGGGTAACAAGACATGAGTTTAGAAGTTTGGCCAAATTAAACTGCTCCTGGATGCAGCCCAGAAGTATGGGCTTGGTCTGACCTCCCATCACAGATACTTTATTACTACTCTGCCAAGCAACATCAGCTTTCCACACATAGCCACATAAATAAATAGGAAAGTAGACTCTATGCAGTATAAGCAGGGAAGCCGAACAGGGCAGTCAGTTTCATCTCATGATTCCTGTGCTCAGAAGAAAGGGGTGGAAAGGCCATAAACCTGTTGTTTTCCCCCCCCCCCCCCCCCCCAAACACATAAAAAGATACACTAAGCCTAGATAATTAAAAGGAAACATCTAGTAAAAGAATTGACATTTCCATCCAATATCTATCCATTACTGCTAAAAGGTCAATAAATTGAAAGGTCAAAGCAGAATTATTCTTTTCATAAAATCTATTTCATACACCACAGGATAATTGTGCTGTTTCACTGTTTTGTGGCCTGTCATTTACTCTTACATCAGCATGCTTTTCAATGCATCCTGAGAAAGGAATTTCAAAGGCAACATAAACATCACTCATTTATTTTAAAAAATTGTCAGCTAATGAATTAGAATGCTCTGCTTTTCTTTATACACGTATGCAAGGTGTCCATATTTCAGAGAAGTGCTGTCAATCAAGGGACCACCACATTTCTTTACGTAGCAGAGCAGGTTTACAGAGGTTGCACTCAGCTAGAGAAATGGTTGGATGCAGAAGCTAAGGCAAAAACCATAGCACTTTTTCTTCAGATTATATTTTGCAGGGCTGTAATTAGGCTCAATCATTTCAATGCTGCATTGACAGGCTACCTTGCCTGGGAATACATTACTCTGTAATTTCTTTCTGTACCTTGAAATAAAAAAAAAAAAAAAAAGATCTCAAAATGCTACATCCTACTCCATACTGGAAAGGAAGAATGAAACAGAATACATAAAGTCTGTAATACAGCTTGGACTGGTTTGATTCATTGTTATGCTCCAACAGAAAATTGTTTTAAAGAATTATATGAAGCGTGCCAGAGCACGTGGCAAAAGTTTCTACAATCCAACAAGATGTACAAAACATCTGAACCAGCCATAACATAACTTTAGGATACTGGCTAGTGACAGAAATGGCTAAAATCAACACTGTAAAATGGAAATAGTCAGATG